CAGGAGGTAAAAAAAAAAAAAAAAAAAGACAGACACTAACCTGAAGGTGACTTCTGGCACGAGGCACTTGACCCCATTATGGAAGGGCCGCGTCAGGGAAATGGTCTGGCTGACCTGATCCACAGCAGACACTCGTCCTTGGTAGACTCCCAAACTTTCTCCACAATTAATTGACACAATGCTCCCCAGCCAGTCCGTGGCCATGTTTCCGGCACACAATCGCTGTAAAGAGACACAGGGCCTGGCTGTAACAAGATGCAGAAAGTGACAACCCGAATCAGCATCAATGGCATCTCCCCCCCCTCCCCATCCTAAAACCTTGGCTTCCACCCAGGCTCCGGCTTTGTCAGCTCCTTTCTTCTTTCTGGGGTGGAAATAACATCCTTACGGACAGCCAGCGCGTAAATCCCTGGACTATATGACTGTTTGTAAGCCAGATCAACGTTTGCATCATTAAGGAAATCATTTTCTAACCAAATTCGAGACTAACTGCTTCCAACAGCAATATTTAGTTCCATCTGTGGACATTCTCCCTGTGATTTTAAACAGGGAATTTATCTTTGCTTCCTTTTTAAAAAATTTTGGCACACAAACACCAAGGCAGCGAGAAGACCAATCTCTGCCCATACAGATGAAAACCAACACCTTTAAGGGAACAAACCAGCTACAGAGAGTGGAGGGGGAAACCCAACGCTGGAGTCCAACACCAAAGTCTTCATGCTCTCCAGAATATTATCACTGCTACGACTGGATAAATTAAAAAAGGAAGTTGTGCTCCTCTCCAGCGTTGAGGTCTACCAGAACGTGGGGGGTGGGATGGGGAAAACCCACACTTTGTAAGTCAGATGTTCGGTCCCACGTAATTCCCTCAGTTTTGATGCTTGACTCGACTTGTGTCAGCACTTTGGAGCAACCAAGCACATCTTTTCATAGAATCATAGAATGGTCTGGGTTGGAAGGGACCTTTAAGATCATCGAGTCCAACCATCAACCTAACTCTGATAAAAACCATCCCTAAACCATGTCTCTAAACACTAGGTCAACCCGGATTTTAAATACCTCCAGGGATGGGGCCTCAACCCCTTCCCTGGGCAGCCCATTCCATAACCCTTTCAGTGCAACTATTTTTCCAAATATCCATCCTAAACCTCTCCTGGGGCAACTTGAGGCCATTTCCTCTTGTCCCATCACCTGTTCCTTGGGAGAAGAGACCGACCCCCCCTGGCTACACCCTCCTTTCAGGGGGTTGGAGAGAGCAATAAGGTCTCCCCTCAGCCTCCTCTTCTCCAGGCTGAACACCCCCAGCTCCCTCAGCCTCTCCTCACCAGACTTATGCTCCAGACCCCTCACCATCTTTGACGCCCTTCTCTGGACCCGCTCCAGCCCCTCAATGTCTTTTTTTTGTGGGAAGTGGCCCAAAACTGGACACAGTACTCGAGGTGGGGCCTCACCAGTGCTCAGTACAGGGGGACGATCACCTCCTGAGTCCTACTCCCCACGCTGCTCCTGACACAGGCCAGGATGCTGGTGGCCTTCTTGGCCACCTGGGCACACTGCTGGCTCCTGTTCAGCCCACAGGTGACCAACACCCCCAGGTCCTCTTCTGCCAGGCAGCTCCAGCCACTCTGCCCCAAGGCTGGAGCGTTCCTGGGGTTGGTGTGACCCAAGGGCAGAACCCATCACTTTGCCTTATTGAACCTCATCCCATTGGCCTCGGCCCATCCATCCAGCCTCTCCAGATCCCTCTGCAAAGCCTTTCTACCCTCCACCAGGTCGACACTCCCACCCAATTTGGTGTCACCTGTGACCTTACTGAGATTTCTTCCTCCAGAGAGAGAGCACAGGAAGGTGATGGGCTCATGAGCATCCCGGTAGCGTGGAAGAGCTGACAAGCTCATAAATGAAAACAACTACCATATATATTTGCCTCTCCTGCTGTAATCAACAGTAAGAGGGAGAAGGCTTGATATTTACCATAAGGAACACAAAGGCAAAAAGAGATAATCCATGAAGATTATCATCAAATATATAAACCACTTTCTACAAGAGTCATTTTAATTCTCTTCAAGCCCTTCCTGAGCTTCTTGGAAAAAGATGCAAGAAAAAAAACAACCCTGGAAATAACTAGGATCTGTGCATGCTACCAGAAAAAACTCATTTCCCCCAACTTTCAGGAGATGCTTCAAAGGGAAGCAAATGCTTAATTTGGTCCCTAAGCCATACGGGGCCTCACCAGTGCTCAGTACAGGGGGACGATCACCTCCTGAGTCCTACTCCCCACGCTGCTCCTGACACAGGCCAGGATGCTGGTGGCCTTCTTGGCCACCTGGGCACACTGCTGGCTCCTGTTCAGCCCACAGGTGACCAACACCCCCAGGTCCTCTTCTGCCAGGCAGCTCCAGCCACTCTGCCCCAAGGCTGGAGCGTTCCTGGGGTTGGTGTGACCCAAGGGCAGAACCCATCACTTTGCCTTATTGAACCTCATCCCATTGGCCTCAGCCCATCATCCAGCCTCTCCAGATCCCTCTGCAAAGCCTTTCTACCCTCCAGCAGGTCGACACTCCCACCCAATTTGGTGTCACCTGTGACCTTACTGAGATTTCTTCCTCCAGAGAGAGAGCACAGGAAGGTGATGGGCTCATGAGCATCCCGGTAGCGTGGAAGAGCTGACAAGCTCATAAATGAAAACAACTACCATATATATTTGCCTCTCCTGCTGTAATCAACAGTAAGAGGGAGAAGGCTTGATATTTACCATAAGGAACACAAAGGCAAAAAGAGATAATCCATGAAGATTATCATCAAATATATAAACCACTTTCTACAAGAGTCATTTTAACTCTCTTCAAGCCCTTCCTGAGCTTCTTGGAAAAAGATGCAAGAAAAAAAACAACCCTGGAAATAACTAGGATCTGTGCATGCTACCAGAAAAAACTCATTTCCCCCAACTTTCTGGGGATGTTTCAAAGGGAAGCAAGTGCTTAATTGCTTAATTTGGTCCCTAAGCCATACAAATTCTCTTCAAGCCCTTCCTGAGCTTCTTGGAAAAAGATGCAAGAAAAAAAACAACCCTGGAAATAACTAGGATCTGTGCATGCTACCAGAAAAAACTCATTTCCCCCAACTTTCAGGAGATGCTTCAAAGGGAAGCAAATGCTTAATTTGGTCCCTAAGCCATACGTTCTTCAGGAACAGCCTCCTCTCTTTCCTGTTTCTGTGTATTTATATTAATCCATGATAACAACATCTGGATTCCAAGACGATGGCTGATAAAAAGCACTTTCAAAACACAGATAACACATCCCCGAGTTACCTCCAGCAAAATAAAAATTTAGTCGTTTTCCTGCTTTTTTTGCATCTCTTTTTGAAAACAAGGAACAGCACAGACCACCATCTTACAAAGAGGCTTTTCAAAAGAGCCTCCTTTTAGGAAGTGAAAAAAACAACACAATAAAGTCTGCTCCTGTGCAAATGTAAACCAAAACAAGGGAAACTGATCTCAAAGGATCTCATCCTACTATTTTATGCGTAAACCCTGTAGAAGGGAGGATGAACCAGACACTGGATGAGTGAGGCACTACATCACACGTGACACATTTGTTTGTTTACACACACCTGGAGAGATCAAACCTCCCGTCTCACATTCTGATCTTACATTCCCAGTTTGTGTCATACAGCTGGCAGTTAGCACACATTCCCCAACATCCCTTCTTTTTGGGTGCATATTCCTGATCTCCCTGCAAGTTTTGAAAGAAACTGAAGTCCCAGAGCTTAGAAAAAGCCACAAGCAGCACTTTATAAACCCAGTGGGGCAGCGGTAACTCAGCACCGTGATGAGTCAACAGCTTTGCACTGCTTCTAGAGAGGAAAGATGCACCCTCACCCTATCTGGAAGACCTCCATCCCACCTCCATCACCTCCATCACACCTCCATCACATCTCCATCCCACCTCCATCGCCTCCATCACCTCCATCACACCTCCATCACACATCCATCACACCTCCATCACACCTCCATCGCCTCCATCACCTCCATCCCACCTCCAACCCACCTCCATCACCTTCATCACATCTCCATCCCACCTCCATCTCCTCCATCACACCTCCGTCACACCTCCATCACACCTCCGTCACCTCCGCCACCTCCATCACCTCCACCACATCTCCATCCCACCTCCATCACACCTCTGTCACCTCCGTCATACCTCCATCACCTCCATCCTACCTCCATCACCTCCATCCCACCCCTATCACCTGCATCACACCTCTATCGCCTCTGTCACACCTCCAGTGCCTCCATCACCTCCATCCCACCTCCGTCACCTCCATCCCACCTCTATCACCTCCATCCCACCTCCATCCCACCTCCATCACCTCCATCACACCTCCATCACATCTCCATCCCACCTCCATCGCCTCCATCACACCTCCGTCACACCTCCATCACACCTCCGTCACCTCCGCCACCTCCATCACCTCCACCACATCTCCATCCCACCTCCATCACACCTCTGTCACCTCCGTCATACCTCCATCACCTCCATCCTACCTCCATCACCTCCATCACACCTCCATCACCTCAATACCCTCCGCCACACC